TCTGGCACTGCAGGATTTGAGTCCCTGGCGGCATATTGTGTTACTTATAGCCTTTGTTACTTTGGTCCCAGCTCTCTGCAGGTCATTGACTAGGTCCCCCCGTGTGGTTCTGGGATTTTTGCTCACCGTTCTTGTGATCATTTTGACCCCACGGGGTGAGATCTTGCGTGGAGCCCCAGATCGAGGGAGATTATCAGTGGTCTTGTATGTCTTCCATTTTCTAATAATTGCTCCCACAGTTGATTTCTTCACACCAAGCTGCTTACCTATTACAGATTCAGTCTTCCCAGCCTGGTGCAGGTCTTCAATTTTGTCAGTCTTTTATACTGATAACGAGTTAAAACAGGTGCCATTAATACAGTTAACAAGTGGAGGACAGAGGAGGCTCTTAAAGAAGAAGTTACAGGTCTATGAGAGCCAGAAATCTTGTTTGTTTGTAGGTGACCAAACACTTATTTTACCGAGGAATTTACCAATTCATTCATTAATAATCCTACAATGTGATTTCCTGGATTCTTTCCCACCATTCTGTCTCTCATAGTTGAGGTATACCTAGGATGAAAATTACAGGCCTCTCATCTTTTTAAGTGGGAGAACTTGCACAATTGGTGGCTGACTAAATACTTTTTTGNGTGTTTTTGCTGATGGGAACTTGGGTCCCCCTCGCAGTACGGGTGCAGCGAGCTGTTTGGCTGATGCAGAGCGAAGTGCACGTGCTGGGGTGTACAGTTTAACCATGTCCTGGATGTAGGAAGGGCCAGATCCATTCACAGCATGGTACGCAGTGGATTCTAGCAGTTACTGGAAGCCAGTGAAGCGAGCGGAGGAGCGGTGTTGTGTGGGAGAATTTAGGAAGGTTGAAGACCAGACGAGAACAGGCATCCATTTAAAAAAAACTAGACAATAAATCTGGTTTTACCTCGGCTAGGGGTATCTCAAAAACAAAAACCTTTTGAGGGGGTGGGGGGGCGGGGGGTTGTGCCTTTACCAATGTGCTTTCTAGGGGACGTTAGGAGACATATTTTCTTCTCTTAGTGATACATACTCACAAACTGTCCAGCAGAGGGCGCCAAGCACACCATCTGTAATCTGCAGGATAAGAATCTGCTGCTGTTTGTATTTTTCTTTCAAGGAGCATAGCAAATGCTGCAGCTGTTCAATAATAAATTGCACGTCACATTTTAGTTTCAGTGCTGAGACACACAAATCCCAAGGTGTTTGGGGGTTTATAATCATTCTAGTGTGTAGTTATTTCCATCAAGGCTTTGCAGTGGTTTGATCCACAGATGTGAGTCTGGGTATCATTAGCAGTTTATAATTAGGGCTAGAAGAAAGAGTCGTCCTTGTTTCGCTACACTACCATGAGGTCTAAAATTAGTTTCAAGCTTTTATAATACATAGTAAAAGAAATATCCCTGCATTCAGGTTACCATAAGATGGAGGTTTTTGGCATGAATAGGCATCCTTTTAAAAATATTCAATATTAATGAGTTTAGTCAATCACAAATTAATCAATTCTTTTAATAATAAATTAATTGTTTGAGTAACTCATTTTGCTGCTGGTGTTAACCTTTTTAGCCATTGCCTTCTTGAATTATATTTAAAACTGCCATACCAACCAGAGCAGTTTTAGACGGCTAGGTGGACAAATCAAGCAGTCTAAATGTACTTATGCTGAAAAACGTTTTGACATTTATCAGTTATCTGGAGAAAAAAACCTGTTATCAACAGTTTCTATGACACGGTCACTGTGGATTTAATAAAAGTGTGGTGTACAAGAAAGAAGCAAAAATCATTAAGTTAACAAAACGGCATTGTTTCAATGAAATAGCGTGCAAAATAAAACAAAAATACAAATCAAGGGATAGCAGCACTGCAACTACAAACAAGCTAAAAATAATTAGTGCAGTAGTACTGTATGTGTAAGTATGAGTAAATGTTAAAAAACACATGGAACCCAGTTGTCCAGCAGCAACATTATCAGAGATCCACAGAAACATAAGTATGAGCAGCATGGAGAGGATGATGTTTGTATCTGTTTGTCACGACTAAGGGGATCTGAAACAGGTGCCAGAGTGTAGGGATATAACACGCAGGTAAGATGGTAGGTGCCATCTGTCAAGATAGAGTTTTCCCTGTTTACCAGCTGAGGGTTATATAGAACAGGCCGGCTACTCTGCTGGACCATCATCATTACTGTTTTAGCTAGTGCAAACTTGGATTTGATATACAAAGACCATAGGGACTGATGATAAAACATGTTTCAGTTTAGGATTTGTAGTAGAGGGTCATCAGGGACCTGTCGGCATGAAAGTTGGCAGGTTGCCGGAGACTGTAAAGTGTTTGCACTCATCTATTAGCCTTTTTAGCATTGCATCAAAAAGAATATTGTTACGGATGATTAAACCAATGTTTTTTATACTTATACTGTATCTGATAACAGATTCCACCAAATTCCACACAAATATCAAAACACAAAGGGCTGCAGTAGCTCAGTCTGTAGGGACTTTGGAACCGGAGGGTCGCTCTTTTAATTCCCAGAACAAAGTATGGAGTGTGGACTGGTACTTTGAGATGTGCTAGTGCTTTTCCTGCTGCCGAAATGCCCTTGAGCAAGGAACCAAACCCTATCACTGCCCCCTAGGTGCTGTATGATAGCTGATGACTGGTCTTAATACATCAATGTGTTAAATGCACAGACCTTATTTTACTTTGTACGTGTGTGTGTGACGATTTAATAGCTTGGATACAAATAATGCAAACATATTTTTCTTAAAAATAATGCAAACATGTGTTTCTTAAAATAAATATCTTTAAAATATGCCAATCTTCTCACTGCACTATGTTAAATTAATTGTATAATATATTTTTTTGTATAAAGCGATGGTAGAGGAGAGATGACGTGCATCAATGGTCAGACTTAAACCCAGGAATGTTTTTTATTGTCTGCACTTTAACGCCTGGGTTGCATTATCACAACTCACTCGCTTGCTTAACAAACAGGTCAGACCAAGCCAGGCTGCCACAGCAGATTACAAAGCACTCAGGGCACATGTACTATAACAGACTCTTAGTAACTTCATCAGGTTCCGAGCCACTTTATAAAATGCTTCACTGAGAAAAAAAGAAAAGCCTTTGCTGTGAAAATGTATGCCCTGCATACTTTGTCACTACAGTCACAATGTATCAAATGAGATAGTTATTTAGCGTGAAAGGTCTTGTGTTAATTAACCTTTGGAGTTTCCCCCTGCAGGTGCGTGTACACGGCACACCAGAGCATGCACTCGGCTGAAATAATCCCAGACATGGATGACTCAGTGCCAGAAAGCACTGCTCCTGACCCAGCAGACCTGCGTGGTTCCTCTGACTCAGGTATACACGCTTCTCTATAGAGGGTTATTGTAGGTTATGTGAACTATTAGCCCCTCCCTGTCCCCATCCCCCTTCTAAACATCATGTTATCTCAGCCATAATCCATTTAAGAGATAATCCCATTTGGATTCCTGTTTTCGTAACTGCTAATTTCAGCATGGCCATCACACGGATACTTTTTAACATCACAATTTGCTGTGTTATAAGTGAAGGCAAAGGTGTCCAAACTACGGCCCAGTGGCCAACTGTGGCCCATGGTCCATTTTTAGCCCACAACGAATTCTAAAAGTTTAATGTAATATGGCCCACACATTGTACTTCTTAAGTATGTAAAGCCCAATTTTCAAATACATTCAGTCAATTCAAGTTGAAAACATTTTCTAACAAGTCTTAGTTGATAAAAAAAGCCCAATAACCTATTTGCATAACAAGCTTAAATACACCCTTCCTATTTCGGCTTATCGATATACAGTAGGGCAAAAAAGTATTTAGTCAGCCACCAATTGTGCAAGTTCTCCCACTTAAAAAGATGAGAGGCCTGTAATNACAATTACTAACAGAGCACTTATATACTAACAAAGGACTGGCTTATCTAAATAAGTAGGTTTCATAGAGCTAAAAAATGTCAAGTGCTACTCAACTGGCTTTAGATAAGCCAGTCCTTTGTTAGTATATAAGTGCTCTGTTAGTAATTGTATTGCTCGAAGTGGAGTCAAAAGAGATGAGTTTTCAGTCTGTGCCGGAAGATTTGTCAGAAAGCTTACAAATCTTCCGGCACAGACTGAAAACTCATCTCTTTTGACTCCACTTCGAGCAATAGAATTACTAACAAAGCACTTATATACTAATAAAGGACTGGCTTATCTAAAGCCAGTTGAGTAGCACTTGACATTTTTTAGCTCTATGAAACCTACTTATATGATTCTGTTTTCTTCAAGGTTGTATCTTCTTGGTCGAATGCACTTTTTGTAAATCGCTTTGGATAAAAGCGTCAGCTAAATGCAATGTAATGTAATGTTAATGATTTTACTGCAACATTATTATTTTTGGTTGATGTTTGGAAACCTCCCATAACCAAAAATAATACAAATGTAGTCTTCTCCACCCATAGGTTCTACCGCTCGATTGGCTGCACTGGTTAGCTGTTAGGGGTTTATGACTGCAGAAGGTGAGACCTACATGTATGGAATGATAACAGTCTCTGGTACTCATATTTGTTTCTGTGATTGGATTTGTATTTCCTATTTTGTTTCCCTCTATAATTCACGTGTTATAAAGTGTATATATTACAGTGATGGAAATAGGTATTGATGAATCATTGCTTTATTGTATGTGTTGCCTCTATGTAAACATTGATTTGGTGACATTCTGATCATTATTAGAATGTTCAGAGATACATGTGATAAGGCACGCACCCTTGCAAGAAGACTACATTTTCACTCTTTTCGATTATGGGAAGGTTCCAAACCTCAACCAAGAAAAATAGTTAAGATATTTGTATATTACAATCCATTTCAAAAACGACATATTAAAGTATTGAAATAACATGGTTGGTCTACCTCGGGTAGGGGTATCTCAACTTAAGAGGCCTTAGCGACATAAATAGAAGCTGTAATTATAAATCTGGCCTACCTGAGGAAATCTTTTAACCCGGACAGCTCATATCCAGACAGATAGATGTTGGTGGGATCTTTGTGGGCCTGGCCCTGCAGGACATGAGGAGCTCTGGCCAACAGGACGGCTCTGTGGGCCTGCAGAGAGCCGGCGCCGGCATACAGAGAGACATCCGCCTCCAACTCCTCCTGCAAGAGTCTGGGGAAAGGATTTACAACACTTTAGCACACGCAGAACCATCACAATTCTCCTGTGCTAACTGTATTTAAAACATGCACACCATCAATGTGTCTGAGTAACTATCGACTAAAAAAAGTAATACAAAACACAAACAAGAAAAACTTTGGTTTTAACCCTGTTGGCCACATGTAAAAACAATGATTACATTTTAAAGCAAACATAGTTGAGTTTAGTTTATTTTGGTCGCTTTTAACTAATTCCACTTAAATACACATTTATTAAAAAAAAAAAAAACAACAATACGTTTTCAATAATCAAGAGTTTGATTATGTCAACCTTTTTTTTTTTCATTCATACAAGACAGGTTAACAGAACATGACAGATTTGAAAGGTGAAACCAGTATTTACAACTTTGACCAGATAGTACAGACATTAAAATAATATGAATAATAATAAAAGCAATGACAAAACTTCCATTGTCCCCATGCCCGACCACAGAGCCCTGCTGTTATTGTCCGTAGGGACTCAGGTCCTAAATAAGTGGTAAAGGGAAACACGTTATAAAACTGAAACGGTTAATCTCTTAAATAAAATCAGAGAGTGTCAAGAGGCATGAACTCTAACACACTACTCATCCACTGTGTGACATTTGGGGATTCTTCTGACACCCACTTTAATAACATGCACCATCTAGCGCCGAAGAGGAGGATTTTTATGAGTTTTAATCGATTTTGAGGGATATTCATCTATGCCTAAAATGCACGATGCAGGAGAGATGTTTATTGTTTTACCAATTGTCAATGTCATTAATTTCTTTAAGAAGAAGAAGATTAACCTTTATTGTTCCCCCTAGGGGAAATGCAGCTTTCACTTTGTTTTTATAAACACACGCTACAAGTATATAGGTACACATGAACATGCATTTTTTGTTTTACGAGCCACAGTACAAATACACACATGGTGAACACATAAACATGCATTTTGGAGAGGCAGCAGGTCGGTGCCGGCCCCAGGGAGCAGCTGGGGGTTCGGTGCCTTGCTCAAGGGGACCTCAGCAGGGCCCTGGAGGTGAACTTGCACCTCTTCAGGCAGCTACCAGTCCACCGTGTTTTTTTTTTGTCCGATCGGGACGTAAACCGGAGACCCGTTTGGTCCCCAGGCCAAGTCCCTACAGACTGAGCCACTGCCGCCCTCTTAAGAACCTCTTTCCAAATGTTACGACTACATACACATTCTAATAAACAGAGAACATTATGTGCCTTCTATTATTTTGCACGCATTACAAAATGTGATAAATCTGAGTTCATGTTATTGTGTCTTACTGTGGTAATATGTAATCAATGGCTGATGATACATTGAAGTTCCTTTGCTCTATTGGTAGTAAAACAGCCAGACAAACTGAACCACGTATCATTCTACCTCTGTTCATTCTTTAATTTTATATTAGTTAATCATCCTATTCCTATTTTTTTAAACTGTTAGGTTTATTACACGTTGTATTTCTTTTACAAAACTAACTTAGTTTTTTTAAAACAAGTAAATTCCTTGTAGTTCAATCGGACTCACGCTGAACTTCCTTTTGAAGATGTTTTACTCTATACATGAACAGTAATGAACAAGTAAGGCCTTCTTAACTAACCAACCTCTAAAATCTCTGAGGTTCCAAGAGTACTCTGATGGCCTATTTTTCCCTATCAGATGAACACAGCAGAGTCCTGACTCTGAGGCGGTGCCTTTCTTCTTCACCATCCTTATCTCTCCTCGCGCCTCAACGACTGATCTGTGTGACCCAGGAATCCTCAGCTAAAGACCGAGAGTGCGGTATGTACAAGTTCAACCATGAAACTATGTCCATAACTGTAACCGTCTGATTAAATGTGCCCAAAGTGATGAACCACTAGAGCAACAAGGACATCTACATCCACATCAGATACAACCCAATGACCTGCACAGATCCATGTTTCTCATGTGTGAACTTTACTGTAACTTTGCAGCTTGCCAAGATGTATAGTCTTATTATCTGAGGCCTTTCTATAGTTTTCTCAAGGGTTCCTGACCATGGAAAGAGTAGTCCTTAACTTAAGGGCCAATTATTAGCTTACATCAACAGTTTTCAACCAGACTTTGTGGTCTTCCTCAGTAGATGTTTACTTTTCTTCAAAAAAATTACTTGTACTTTGTTATGCTTTTATTTCTATGGTATGTTTAAGATTACATTTTTAAAGGCTTTAATTTAATAAGCAAAATAGCTACGTCATTGTTCATCTGAAGACTTTCATTGCAAAACTACGCTGTAGCCATTGTGTGTATTCAAATGAATGCCTAAAATAGTAGGACAATATGATAATATTATTACATTTAAAGCTTAATAAGATAAGTAAAGGTCATTTTAAAAAGTAAAAGTAATTTCCAGGAAACTTTCCTCCAAGGTAAACTTAGAGGTGAAGTTAAAGGTTAATTCAATATAGTAAATAAAGACTGGGGACTCATAGGAGACACAAAAATAATGGTCAAATTGAATGCATTAGCAGAGGCCAGGATATTCTGACTTTTTGTTGCATGCTCTTTAAACAGTGATGCAAACACACGTATGGTGAAAAAAGAGAGAACTATTCGAAGCAGAAAAAAAAACAGCGTCATATACCATCTGACAAAGGCCTGTGCTATAATGCTTCAATTAACTGCTTTCTTTATAATATACTCAGATCAACAGGAGACAGAGATGTTATGTTATAAATTAAGGGTTTTTATTATTATTTACAGCAGGGGTGGGGAACCTTTTTCCTCTCTCATCCTAAAAAAGGTTGGAGACCCCTGCATTAGAGCGTAACAACTGTAACTATAAGTATCTGAGATAAATATGTGTAATGAAACAAATACCGATAACTGTATTGCATTATTTTCTTATGCGCAATTACTTCATACAGTCTTTGTCTTTTTCGTCCTGCATTTATTGTGCCCCCCTCAGAAAATAACTGCCCCCCCCCAGTGAAATTGGTCTCGAACCGCCACTGTGACTGCACCAAGGTTATTTTTCTAACTTTATAAGCTCCTCTTGGGCCAAAGAGGATACATTAAAACAGTTTTAACAACTGAGTACTTCTCTCTTTGACAAGTTAGTTGAAGTTAATGAATACATTTGCTGAACTGCCTCTTTAAATGTGGTATTTGAGTTGAGATTTGTTTGCAAAACTATTGTTTTACACACTTGTTTTAAATGACATCAGCATTGATCCCTTTTCCTGACCCTACTATTGACGAGCCTTTAAAATAAGTTGCAGGCGCGGCAAGCTTTTTGTTATTGACATTTGCCATTGATCCAAGATTACACCCCGTTCAGTGAACACTGTCACATGTCTTACCTGTCAAGGTCTGCAGATAATGCAGCTGATAAACATCTTTTCAGCTGCTCTTTGTGTTTGCGCTCTTTGGCCTGGAACTCCCTGGCAGCCTCTGTGGTGATCATGATTCATCAGGTTCTCTGAGACAGAGGCAAGACAGAGATTTTAGCCGGTCAGTTCATTTATACACGACATTTCATGCCAAGGCGTATATTCAATGAGCTAAAAACATTGTATAAGAACACATACTATTAAAAGTAATTGGGCTACATAAAACCCCGGTTGCATGCTGGGAAAGAAACGTAAGAATATATTTGGCCAAGTGAGACAGGTCTTTGAAAAAAGAGACGCAGTAGCATACCGCTTGAATCCCACAAGCCAAATAAAATGCAATGTAATGCTTTAATACCGTTTCAATCATATGATGCCAGCTTCACCTCTGTCAGTCTGCAACACTTTCACTCACCACACACTCACATTTACCAGCACTGTAGCCCATAGAGACGCTGCTGCTTGTCAATATGAAGAACATCTATTAAAAAGGGTAGAGATGACCTCGACAACCCAAAACAAATTCACCGTGTCCAAGGATATTATTCAACCTTAACGTAATTAGAAAATCGACAAATATAGCTTTGAACAGGAAACCGGCTTTACTCAGCTTCCTTACGAGAAAACACCACTGATAACACCAATGATAACCAGTATCTCTCTTCTTTTTACATTTGTTTCAATAATTTAACCACACTCGGCTAAACCCCACACAAATATCTATTCTTAAACGTGTACTTGCTGTTTCTCTGCCCGACACGTCCTGTGCTGTTATCCGAACAACATTACTCTCATGTCCCTCTCATTGCTAGCATGCTCGCGCAAGCTAACATGGGCTACCGTTAGTTATCTTCCTTAAACCATGAATGTCTGGGGACCAAAATAAACCGACACAAATGAGTTACCGCCGTCTGTTAGTATGAGGTTCGGTTACCAGCTCAAGCATCTTCATTAACGTGTCGTCGGCTGACCCACTGACCGATGTTGTTGACATCACCGCTGCAAGCTGCTCTACTCCCCACCATCGCCCTCCAGAGCACGGCTCGCAATTTGGAGGAGTGGCCAAGTCGTCACAGCCCGGAAGCTGCTGCACATGCGCAGTGCAAACAAGGAAGGTGCCGTGTCCTCAGATGATGCTTTCAGGTTCTGTGCCTAACCTCGAAATTCTAAAAACACTTTGAAATTAAACTCTTCTGGTCCCTTGTGTTTTTATTTTCATATCTCAGAGTAAGACCTCGCCTCACACTTTATTGTTGCATCCGGGTAGCAATTAGATCTGAACCCACTCGTAGTCCTATTGTTTGAAGTTTGAAATATATAACTGTATTTTAATGTAATGAATATTTTTTGGAACAAGATACTGGGTGTTTCTCAATGTCGAGTATGCTTCCTTGGTAGGACATGTCTTCCGAGTCACTTCCTTCAGAAGCGAGGCAAGAATCCTTCCTAGCCTCGGAAAACGAAGAAAGGTGGAACAGGCTAACAGGTGTGCAGGTGTGCGTCATATGCGAGGTCCCGCCTTAAATGGAGCGCGATTTCCGCCAACGATTTGGGAAATTGGTCCGTGCGCAAAGCATTGTGGGGATTTTAAGACTGCGGAGGATACACATGTGCAGCCTCGAAATGTCTCGCTGCGAAGGACGCCGGGCTCGGTACAGTCCTTCGGCGGGACTCGATGACGTATAGCATCCTTGAAATAGTGGCTCTGGAGCAGCATGCTTCTCCCTGTACTGTCTCTCCCCATGTGTACAACTCATCTTCTCGCTACTTCTTCTCCATGTGTACAACTACAATCTTCTGCTGTACCTCTATGCTCCCCTGTGGTACAACTCATCTCTCTCTGTACTTCTTCTCCCCTGTGTACAACTACATCTTTCTCTGTACTTCTTCTCCCCTGTAAACAAACTACATCTTCTCTGTACTTCTTCCATGTTGCTCAACTACATCTCTCTGATACTTCTTCTCCCGTGTACAACTACATCTTCTCTTGTACCTCTTCTCCCCTGTGTACAACTACATCTTTCTCTGTGACTTCTCTCCTGTGGACAACTACATCTCTCTGTCTTCTTCTCCCTGTCTGTAAACTGACATCTTCTCTCGTTACTTCTTCTCCTGTGTACAACTACATTCTCTGTCAACTTCCTCTCCCTGTGCGAAATTTATGATCTTGTGAGTCTCACTGAGACATCGACAGAGAGACGTACGTCCACGGGCCTACCAGCTTCCAAGGAGCATCTACATCTGCCACAGCCCGAGGCCTCGGTCGGGGGGGTGCCACGGTCCATGGGTGTCATGGTGGGGGTACCAGAGCTACTACTTCTGGGACGCGAACCACGGCGACCGGCTACGACTACGCTAGTTCGTGCAGCACTTAGTGTCGCGTCTCCCTTTCTCAGTTACTGTCGTTGTACCTTCCTAGACAAGTGACTCTCCTCTCGACTCCAACTAAGTATTGTTTGAGAGAATATAGCAAAGTGTGCTTCAGTTTTACAACTCGAGGCTTACTTTATGAAAATAGACAAAAACCGGTCAGCTTCATTTAGTCTTAAAACCCGACTTCTTTTGACTATCTCTAAATCTCAAAAGAAATTGATGTGTTAAGAAGTTGAGGAGGTTCTTGTCAACCACTCTACTAGTCGACGTCGAGATGAAGTCGTTCACACAAACATTTCAGTTGCGCCGAATGTCGTACCTCGCAAAGTCAATTGGAAGCTCGTCAAGTACTGGCTATTTCTCGAGTCCCCCTCTCTCGCTAAGGATCACTACGTGTCCAATTGAGGAATCACTAGTCATCGTCTGGTCGCTCACTCCGTCTCACGATTCGTTCTGCGCAAGTAAACGCCGCATGAATCATAAGTCCAAGTTATGAACGTCTGTTACTGAAAAGCCTACATGAAGAGTCTGGAAATGACTAAAAGGTACTGGTCTCTTTATTGAGAAAGAGCCATGGTGACTCAAATAACTTTACCTTGTTCTCTCTCCAGACATTTTACTTTGTAAAACTCGGATAGATTTGTTTAGGTTGATCATCCGGACCCGCTCCGATCTCTCTGAGTTTAGAGAGTGCGTCGTTTTTTGCAGCAGTCGATTTCGGTAAATGCAAAGTAACGATATGCTATGGTCATAATAATAAGTAATTAAAATGATAAACCGCAAATCTAATTTATATTTAATATAAAACGTACGTTGAAATCAATGTACAAGGTTTCGGACCTAATCCTAAACTAAAGCGTTACACGCACACAGACACGAAGGTTACAGGGACCTTACTCGTAAACTTAAGGTACTGAAAAGGTCCAAAAAAATGTACTGGCATCTTAGGACTAAACTGAGAACGCATAGGTAAACTTACCTCAGGATAAAGGTGGACGTTTAGATGAGTTCTGTCCTTTCGAGAAGTTTACTTCAACCTTTTGAATTTTTGTTCAAGTGTCCCAAGTTGTAACTTTTTGAACCTCCGTCGAAATATGTCAAAGGAAAGCTTCACGCTCTCGCACGCTCTCAACTGTCCGCGCGTGAGTCAACAGTTTTTCCACAGAAAAAAAAACCGATTTTATTAACTTCTACAAGCCCAGTGCCCGGAATCTTTCTACGTCCGCGCTACTCTCTTCACGCTCTTCTACCAAAACACTTCGCCAGTCTACGCTCGCGGACAAACTAATGTTGTATACTTACAACAGTTAGAATTTTTTCAGTAACGGACAGTTTTTTCAGTGTCAACCTTTTGACAACTCTATTTTGATCTCTCTTTATGCGTTGATCTTCTGTGTTAGGGCCTCAGCGCATTCACTAAATCGATCACTGAATTGCAAGGTGGTATCGAGCACGATGAGGTGCTTTTGGAACTATATCGACCAGTGTCAGTATGACCTGACTGATTGAGGGGAATACACCATACATGTCAAGAAGTCTGTACGGTCTGAATCAACACATAAAAGTGGAGAAAATTTATGAAAAGCGAAGTAAGAACTTTCTTCTCCGACTTTACACGAATGAAGGTTACTACAATTGACAGTAACAACAAGGACAGACGCGTTGTGTTAACTGTCACACGCGTAGAACACAACCACTGCGCATCCGTTCTGGTCTAACAACTAAGTACTCCGCGAAGTGTGTTTTTTTTAACAATGAAAAGTGTCAAAATGCGTCTAAAATAGAAAATTTACTGTTTGTAGTGATACACATTAAGCAACGTGTTAAGTTTTGCCCTAGTTTTCCTATTAGAAGAGAGAGGTAACTGAAGTTATGTATGAAAGTCTTTTATTCCAGGGTACCTCCAGGGGCCCTTCCCTCCCTGAAGCGGTGAGATAAAAGAGCCTAACATTTTATCGAGCTTTATTCCAGACACAACTCTGTTTAACTTCTCCTGTCTAGTGCAAAACAAGTCGGCCTATTATAGGTGTACAAGATGGATGAAAATATTAAAAGCTTAGTATTTAGATAGCTAGTATTTAGATAGCTGAAACTAAGTACTAATCTTTATTACGATTGAACGAAGGCCCAAATCCTGCGCAAGTGACACCGTGAGATATGTCACCCACAAAGAGTTACAAGTTCCTTCCTACGAGTACTCGGCGATAAAGTTCCTAGATG